TACAAAGGCGCCAACATGATACTCTGTTTATGCGAAGGAATTGTGTGGTGAAATTACCCATTATTTCCATCGTGCTTGATAGCTTGTCAACAATATAACTAGCCTGAAGGTGTGCTGCAGTAAGCTGTTGTATCTCTCCGTCGCCGCAAATGAAATTCCACGAATGAGTACCGCCAGCAGAGCAAATGATCAGCTATCTCAGAACAACCAATAATACTTGTTGAAAAAGCGAAAGACATAGCCTCAAAGTATGCTGAAAAGAGATTGTTTCGACAAATGCCACCACGTTACATATCTGTTGGTGTGTGAGGCTCAATAAGTGCATACTCAATAAGTGCGATATAGCAGAACTACAGCTAGCCAAAACCTGACTTAGCCCGATTCACTTCACAGCTCCAACACACGCCAAACAGCACCACGCCTTGACGCGAGATATACCGGTTGTGCGGGAAAAACTAGTCTCTCGAAACACATTGTGACAATTCATTTATAGTAAATGCTAACGATGTGAGTAGTATACAGTAGAAACATTGGCTGCAACAACAGTGCCCAAAGTTAATGGTTCAGACACGTCATCGAAAGATGGGGAGCTTGCTCAGATTCACTAAGAATCACCAAAATGTTTCTCAACCAGATTCGCTAGGGCTAAGGCTCAGCATGCTTTTTCTTCACTGGACTCACTCAAACTAGACCTCAAAAAACCATTACACACCCATACTTAGACTCAGATTCACGGTGAGGTATGAGTCTGCGCGAGTCTGAGCATATAGTTAGCTTTTTGTACCATACTGTTAATGTTCGTCAAAACAACGCAATATTCGCATGATTTGTGCTTTACTTGCTACCTCTTCATTTCGTAACGTCAGCCCTCAGCCCTGGTATTTTATTTTTGTCAGAAACACTTTAGTACGTATTTTACTAACAGTTGGAGCCTCAGAAGACCACAAGCACAAAATTTAGTCAATGGTAAAATTATTCACGAATATACAGACATAATATTAACTCAAGCCATAATGTCCATGCAGTCATGAAATGATTAAAAGAGATAACTGATTCCTGCTATAGAGTAATGAAAACATCTAACAACGTAGTATTTGACAGTGTGGAATCCCTTAAAGCAACTCAAGGATATATGGATGGATTGATATGGCTGTACCTTTTAGATCGGGCGGTGGCTAACGCCACCAAGCCGTAATACTTAAAGAACCAAAAACTAGATTTATTTTTTTCCTTCAAATAGGGAGGTTGAGGATTCCTACTTTGCAGTGAAGGGTTTAATTTTCACTCGTGCATTGACTTCAGCCATCAATCAGATGGCCTCCTTCTAGTTAATTCTACCCGCTTAAAGTCTATTTTGCCCTCCCTGTCCCTAAACCTCAGTGCTTTGAAGAACTCTGCGCCACCATCCTGAACAATAGGGTGAAGTCCTTTACAGAACATTATCAAGTGTTCGACAGTTTTCTCCTCCTCTCCACACGCACTGCATACCCTGTGTACCCCTTCGTATTTGGCTCGATATGTCTTAGTTCACAATACTCCCTTCCTGGCCTCAAACAGTAGAGAACTACCCCGAGTATTATCATAGATCCTTTGCTTGGCAATTTCTTGCTTAAAAGTTCGATATATCTCTAGTGCGGACTTCTTAATCATGTCACTTCTCCACATATTGGTCTTAGCTTCCTTTACCTTCTTCTTAACCGATCATTCTTTTTGGTTTGGCCCCCTGCTGTTTTCTAGGTATTTATCAGTCAATTTTTCGGTTAGCTTCCTCGATTTTGTATCGGCATTCTTCATGTACAAGTTGTTGAATACCTTCCTAGCCCAACGCTCCCCCCCCCCCATTTCTCTTAATCGCTTCTCAAATTTATCTTGCTGCTAGCTTCCCTGCCCTCAAATGGCGTCCATCCCATATCACCTTGTACTCCCTGATTTGGTGTATTCCCGTGAGCTCCTAAAGCAAGCCTACCTATTCCACGTTGCTTAATTTCTAATCTCGCTGGAACTTCTGAGCTCATGCACAAGACCACATTGCTGAACGTCAGACCAGGAACCATGACCCATTTCCAGATTCCTCTCACAACATTATACCTATTGTAATTCCACAGTGCCCTGTTTTTCATCACTGCGGCATTACTGCTACCTTTAGTCGTCACGTATATTTTGTGTTCTTCTAGGTACTCGGTCCCATTGCTTATCCATACGTCCAGATATTTGTATTATCTGTTATCTCTAGCGTTACCTTCTGTATTCTAAGCTCGCTACCTTCATTATCATTAAAAATCATGACTGCTGAATTTTCCTCACTGAATCTGAAATCTCCCTCATTACTGCAGATGTCCATCAATCTCTGCAAATCTCCCTTGTTGTCGGCCATTAGCGTTATATCATCTGCGTACATCAGTGCTGGTAGTGCCTGTTCAATGGGTTTTCCTTCTTTGATGAAAAAGAGGTTGAAGCCAAGTCTACCTCCCTCTAAATTAGCCTCTAATACTTTAGGTACGTCCCGAATAACAAGGGTGACAGATGACACCCCTACCTAAGTCCCCGTTTTACTTCTGTGGGCTTCGATACCCGTTTTTTCCACTTTATAACTACCTTTTTATCTTTATAGATATCCTTTAAAAGATTAGTAACTACATCTTCCACGCCTAGTGTGTCCAGTATTCCCACCAATTCCTCTTGAACCACGCTATTGTACGCCCCCTTGATATCCAAAAATGCTAGCCACAAGAGCCTTTGTTCCTTTTCTGCTATTTAGATGCACTGCGTCAGTGAGAATAGATTGTCTTCCAACCTCCTGTGTTTCCGAAACCCATTCTGCAGTTCCACCAGCACCCCCTCATCCTCTATTCATGCCTGCAGTCTTTCCTTTCTAATCTTCATCGCCAGCCTGTAGTCCACTGATGTCTCTGTTATAGGAAGTTAGTTGTTTATGTCAGCTTTGTCCCCCTTTCCTTTATAGATCATGCTCATCCTGCTAAGTTTCCATCCATCGGGGACTTCACCATCAATTATTGTTTTGCTGACTGCCTGTCTTAAAGTCTGTTTAGACTTCGGACCCAATGTCCTTATCAGCATAATTGGAATGCCATCTGGGCCCGTTGATGCACTACTAGGAACCCTCTTCTCAGCTCTTTCCCACTCTCGTTGTGAAAATGGAGCCATTGCGCCACTTGATCCATCCTTAACTATTATAGTGCATAAGGCACTTCTCTGTTGACTTTTGTGTGTCACCCTTGTTTTTATATATTCAATCGCTTCGTCCCCTTCTAGCCTAGCCCCTTGAGCTGTAGTTATAAACCTCTGCTCTAAGATCGTCGCATTTCTTAGGGAGTTTAGATGGTTGCGAAATTTCGCAGCTGCCTTTTTATTCTTTTTATGTACTTCTGCCAGTCACTGAGCCCCCTTTCTTCTAACCTTCTCATTGATCAGAAGGAATGCTTTCCTTCTACAGTTCAAAAAGATGTCCCATTTTCTTTCGCGTCATCTGTCGATTCACCCCGCTGCTTAGCGCGTCTGTGTTACCTAGAGACTTCCTGACGTTTTGCTATGGTTCTCTTAACTTCCTCATCCTGCCAACTCTTAGGTTTGCGTCTTCTTTTTCGGGGTGACTTGTCACGTGCCTTAGCAAGCTCTAGCCCAAACAGTTTAATTAGATTCGTGTATGTCCACACTGTTTCCACAGGATACATGTCCACAGTATGCCCACATTGATGTCCACATGATATCATCCCGAAGACACCACCTTGTCTCCTGTGCTTGCCCGTCTCGCCGTCCCTCATGACTTCGGTCAAGCTTTTTCTTCTTCACAGCTGCAAGCTCATCGAAAAATGAAGCTATGGTAGTGTAGATCGCAGTGGGGATAGTTGAAAATTATCCTTCTCCAAGAACGAACAGGTTTGGCTGTTCCGTTGTGGTTGTTGGAGAAATTTTGTGTGGTGTCGTCAATGGACGACACAACAAAGTGGACGACACCAGGGCCGAAAGAGTTAGTTACCAGTTATTGTGGGATATTTATTAAGGGCATTTTTATTGAAGAAGATGACCCACACAGGATATTTTTAGGAATAACTTTTTGTTGAAGAGCTCCTGAGCGGAGATGAAAGCAGCTCCATCTTTCTGTAATTGACTCTTCTGGTCAATAAATATTGAGCTCACTTGCGAATGACAACGTGTGAAGAGTGCGATAGCAAAACTTGAGTAGCCATAAGGCTGATAGTATAAAGTTGAAGTTTTGTACACAGAATCATAGGATGGAAGAAAAAAAATCTGAAGCCCACTCAGACTTACCCATGAAGTATATTGTGCTCTCAGGGCTCATCGAGACTTAGTCCAGATGAGAAAAATTTTGAAGAGACAAACGCACTCAGACTTGCCATTTCTTTTGCTCAACCGTACTCACTCAGACTCAAACCCACGGCAATATTACTCACACGGAGTGAGACTCTAACTGAAGGCCTAACTTTCGTCTGATCGAGTGAGTCAACTGATGAGTGAGGTTGTCGACCTGCGTTTAGATAAAACTACTGCTGGGGAGTAGACTGTGGCAAAAACATTGACAAAGGGTGAAACAGTGCAGGACAGGTGCGGTGTAAACAACGGTAGTGCCGATCGCAACGGGGATAGTTGAAGAAATACTTCTCCGAGAATGAACAGGTTTAATTTTGTCGTCGAGGTTTTCGGAGAAATTTTGTGTGGTGTCGGAGTTTTGTGTAGCATGTTGAAAGGGCTGCGTGTGGGCTAAGCGGCACAACTGCGAAGGAATAAACGACGTCACTGACGGCACAAATATTGACGCACGTGCTTAGATGCGACGCAGAAGACGGCGTCACTAACGGCACTGCAATGGCCGTTGTGCTTGGGTGAGAGATCGAAAAGCACGTAATTGATGGCGTACTCATTAGAGAACATTATCAAAACTCGTGGCGAGTGGTTTGTCGTCTCTGCTAGCCGTATAAAGCTTTCGCTGTAAGGGCTTCTGCATTGTTTTTTTCTTTCAGATCCAGACGTAAAGCAGGGCATATTCTACTACTTTGGCCATGACTGCATTGTGATGGATCTAGAGTATAACGGGCATTGTAAGTATACCGCGAACACAACATTACGCGACGCTTGTTTGACAGGAACGTTGAGATATAGTGATGAAAAGTTTTCGTCGTAGTAATCACCATAGTATATTAATGACTGAAATGCCCTCCTCTCTCTGTATTGTTCCCCACGGTGGTATATAGGTTACAATTTTCGGTTCGTTTGATATAAAGAGAAGCGCATAAGGAAGCAAACTACGGTAGTTTAATATATATATATTGGGAGCATTTTAATGCGTTCTAACAACTATTCCAATATCATGAGCCACTCCCCGAGATTCCTGGTGTCGTCTGGATTCTTACGCTCAGTATTCACAAGATGAACTATTCGTTAAAATGTGCGCCATCATAAATGTCTTCGTTCTTTTCTTCCGAAATTCTTTTCTTCAGAACATCTTTGAAAGCACACAGGGCACCTGTGGCTTTTTATATGGGCAAAAATGCGCTTCCCGCAAGTTGTCGAGCACGCAGTGGCCTGGTCACCAACATAACAACTTATCTGAGCCTATCCTTTGGTCCACTGTATAAGGTTCAACCATCACGTGAACTTAGAGCTGGTTGGCGTCACCTGCTTCCACTTGCTAGGTGACGCCAACTAGCAAAAGAAGAGTGTTCCACAAGTTCCGCCGTGGTGGTCTAGTGGTTAAGGTACTCGGCTGCTGACCCGTGAGGGCACCACAATACCGTGGGTTAGTGCCGTGACCTATCTCGGTCTTCGCATCGACCATCGGCTGTCCTAGGCCCCCGCAGTGAATGAAGCCATATGCATGGTGAAGAGACCCCCAGAAGGCAGTGAAGGGCATCTTCCTCAGAAGCCGCGGCTGCTCACAAGCATGGGCGCTTCGTCTTTACACAGCAGCAACAATATCACGGCTGCTGTACGCATTTCCCGTGGTAGCACTTCGTGGCTGCCTTTGGAGCATCTTGAGTTGCTGCATAGGGGCTTAGCTTGCCCGGCCGCAAAGTCGACCACAATCTCGGATGGGCGAGCTGCTGCAGATCTATCAAGCAGCTATGGGACCGGTGCCTCCAGCCGTTCCTCTTCCCCCACCAACAGAAAAAAAGCACTGGCTATCAACACTGGTCAGGGAGGGCTCTCCAAGCGGCGCTCACCCATTTGTGCACTCAAGCAGGCATCTGCGTCCAAGATAGAGGAAGAGCATGCTGGAAGGCTTATTGCGTACGTGGATGGCTTCGTCTTCTCAGGCACTTTCTCGGCCATAGCTTCCTGCGTTATGATAGAACTTGGTTGGACGGCCTCCTGCCGTCTGCCTTTTGCGGCCTGCTCTACCGCTGCAGAGACGGCCATTCTCCACCTGGCAGTTCACCTCCTGGCAGCGAACCCCCCAGCTGTCGCTGCGTCGCTGCATTGCTGGCCTTGGCAAAGCCGGAACGGGCAAGCTTCGCAACGCAGGTGCTCGTCACCAAACTGAATGCCCTCCTTGCAAGTGGCGTCGATGTATCTCTGCTCTGAGTCCAATCTAATGTGGGAATCCAGGGAAACGAGGAGGTTGACGCCCCGGAGAAAGAAGCACATTACTCCGCCGTTCCTGTGTGTCTTACCGTGGTCGCTCAGACTTTTCGAGGCTCATATTGAGGAGGCTGTTGCTACACGGCCACCCTGACAATCGTGTAGCAAGGATGGAACTACCAACCCGGCTGCCTGGCCAGGGTTTCACCGGGAGGGAGAGGTGCGTGCTACTTCGCGTACGCATCGGCTGCTCCTGGCCTGTGGCCCAGTGTCATCCGCGTGGCAGAGCCTCATCCTCTGTGTGCACTGCGTGCGGGGCAAATGAAACCATCGAGCACCTGTTTTGTGTTTGCCCAGCGCTTCGCACACAACGCGCTGTCCTGCTCGTCACACTACGTCACCACGGTTTACCCGCGGCTACACAGAGGGACCTTCTCTTTTTGGCACGGCACCACACCCAGGTCTTTAAAGTGGTTCTTCGCTTCCTTGAAGACACTAGACTAGAAAACCGGCTATAGATGCCGTCCGGCACGTCCTTGGTCATGGACGCCATTTCTCTTTTCTCTTTTTCACATCTTTCATGCCTAGGTCTTTAGACTGTAGACGGCATAACGACTGTAGACATTATTGGTCTCGCTGTTAGATGTCATGACGAATATACTAGTCAATGGTCGCGAAAGACTTGAGCGCACGCAAAACCTTGAATGAGCATTATAAAATTGCGAAACTGAAAAATGTGTTGAGTGTTATTGTTTCACTAACAAAATTTCGAAAGACAGCAAACAGGGAACACGCTTGACGCATATCGTTCCTCAGCTGATTTGTTGCACTTTGGTTTCTGGGTCTTTTCCTCCACTCACATGCTAAGAACTAGCTTCAGAGTAACGCTACGGGTTGGTGTGATATTCCACGAGTTAATGCTGTTGTAGGAGCGTGATTTCTGAATGATTTTTAATCGTAATTTTATGCATGTCTCACGTTTTACCAGTGTGCCTTCTGTGGACGGCGCTCTACCTGCTGCACAATGTGCCACCGGTGTGTATTGACCAATTCGTTGACACCTGCGGCGTAATTGCCAATCCGCACAGAAGAGACCTCTGCCCCGACGACTAAAAAGATCTCTTGGTAGGCTGAAACGAGGCACATCCGTTCTTTGTTGTGCTCTCTAATACAAGAGGTTGAACTCGGCGGTGATAACGGCTATGAAAATCAACACTGAATTGTAATAAATTTGCTTTAACTGGTTTTTGCTCACAGAGTTGTTTCTTTAGGTAATCGAATCTTGAAAACATTCATTAACCCCATTTGTAGAGAGAAACCATCTTCCGCTAAAAGGGGCGTCCGCAGGCATCCAGATAACGTCACATGAAATACAAAAATCACATGCTCCAACGACGACATTTCAGTTGGCAGCGCCTTGAGGCGCAATGCCGCTACAGCGACAAAAAAAAGGGCAACGCTACCAGTTGAACGCACCCGAACGCGCTCCGCGTTCCCGCTCTGTTGTGGTGGTAAAAACTTTATTTTTTCTTTGGAATAAAAAGGTGCAACCTGGCGCAATATGAAGTGAAGGTCAAGTTTGCGTAGCAACGACAACGTCGCGTCTGCTTTCGGCGGTGAGCTCCAGTAAACTTGAGAATAGGCGCGGGAAAGGGCGCAGGCAAGTCAGTTGGTTTCGCCGAAACGAGAGCGCGTGTGACACCCGCGGAACGCGTTCTGCAGTTGGTCCGGGAAACTTCGGCGCCGTGCCGTCCAGAGAGTCTCCTAATAAACACTAGAAAAAACTCTGGCGCTAGTGTCTATGGGAGCTTCAACGCATGGCACTTCAGTGAGCATGGGAATGATGAGTAGTACAAATATTTGTCTAATTTACGTACTTCTCGCTCCGTGTGTATTCGTGGCGTTTGGAGTTGTTTTGTCGCGAAACAAAAATCAGCAAATGTTCAGTGGCTGTGCTTCACCACCTTATTTTTCAGGCTTACCTTTTCAATTCGGGTCATGAAGTTTAAAAGGGTTCGTTTTTTTCTTTCGAAACAAACCCGAAACACAGCAATAAACGAAGCCACAAGTGCGATTCTCCGCCCGCAAGTACGAAGACTAGGCAAATGTGTGTACTACCCATCGTTCCCATGTTCGCTGAACGATCACAGCGCCAGAGTCCCCTCTAGTTAATTTTAGGAAACTCTATGATGCCATCAGCTTGGCGCGCTGAAACGAGACGCTCGCTTTGCGGAGTTGCCTTTCCGCGATGGAAGAAGCGGCCCCATGAAAGCGTCAGCGAGGTATGAAGTATTGTTGTGTTGTGGCCTGCCACAAAAATGCAGACAACACCAATGAACGCTCTCCACGTGTAAAGCAGTATGAGTTCCGCAGCAAGTCCCAGCAGGTGAACTCAGCCGCGTTCGTGAAAGATGAAGCAATTATGCCACGAAAAAATAAAAAAAAAACGAGTCGAGCACTTTAACTTGACTCGCCGGGGTTAAAGCTCAGCTTGCTACTTCGTGGCAAAGCCAGCGGGTCATGCTCCCGCGGCCCGGAGGACATGACTCTAAGACTACTCGAACATTTTATTACTATTATCGTATAACTTTATGATGATGAAATAAACATTTATTTTTTGAATCAGTGTTCCCGAGTTTGTGAGCTCGGAGTCACCCTAGGTGGGAGGGTCCCTTATTCCAGGAATCCTCTGGCCGCAATCACCTCCCGGGCCTTGGCAACAAGTCCTCGTTGGTCGTTTAGGTCACGTGCAGCAATCTTGGCCTCCAACGTCTCGGCTAGGGAGTCGATACGGGCAGTCGTTGCGGACTTGGTATTGGCATCTTAGTGGCGCCACGGACACTCGAGTAGTAGGTGGGCCAGTGTGTCTGGCACGTCGCGTATTGGGCAGTTGTATGCGTATAGCGTTGGGTAGATTCTTTGCTGTAGAGTGCCGTGTGTATAGGGGTTAGCTTGAAGTCTCTGAAATGCTGTGGCCTCTTCTTCAGTCAGATTGTGGTGAGGTGGCGGGTACACCCTGCGAGCTAGACGATAGTGTTGTAGGATGGCGCTGTATGTTGGTGGTACGGTTTCCACTTCTTCTGCAGCGCTGGCTAACCGCGGGACAAGCGAGGCGCTGAGGAAGGCCTGGTTGACGTGACCGCGGGCCGCGGCGTGAGCCGCTTCATTTCCCTCGAGCCCCTTGTGCCCCGGCACCCATAACACGCAGGTGTAAGGAAGCGGAGTTCGGCTCTTTCTCAGAGTTTTGAAAGCTTCGGCGGAGATTCGGCCTCGCGTGTAATTGCGGACAACGGATTGAGAATCTGTGAAAGCTACGACCGCGTCCTTACCAGTCGTAGTGGCAAGGGCGATCGCTGCTTCCTCGGCAGACTCGGAGATCCGCACCCGGAGGGTGGCGGATGCCAGCTCTTGTCCTTCCGCGTCGACCACACTTAAAGCGTAGGTATTTTTGCCAGGGTATTTCGCCGCGTCGACGTAGCGAGCATCTGGATCGTGCTGGTGTCTTCTGCGAATGGTGTCAACTCGAGCGATTCGTCTTTCCCGATGGTACTCGGGATGCATGTTACGCGGTACTTGGGCGATGCTGAATGATTGCGGCATGTACAGCGGCATCTTCTCTTTGCGATCTGCCTCGCAGATGTAGCTCTCGCTGTAGCCCAAGCGCTCAAGGATTGATCGGCCCGTCGACGTAAGCTTAAGTCTCTCGAATTGGCTGGTCCGTTGGGCTTCTGCCAGCTCTTGCCAGGTACTCTGTATACCCATTCTTAGGAGTCTGGTGGTCGACGCCATTGGAAATAGCCCTACGGCGAGCTTGGTAGCTTTGTGGATGAGCACATTCAGCTTGTCGACTTCAGATGTCTTGAGGGCGAGATACGGGGTTCCATAGGTAATTCCACTGGTTAGAAGAGCCTGCACAACACTCAAGGTATCGTTTTCTTTCAGGCCACTGCGTCGGTTTGCGACTCTCCTTACGAGGTGCGCGAGCTGGAAGACTGTGCGTTGAAGTCCAGGAAGCGTGGCGGTCCCTAATACGTCGTGGTGCAGGTGCAAGCCGAGCACGCGAAGCGAGGTTACCTTCGGTATTTGGACCCCGTGAAGGATGATGAATGGTTCTGGCGCTTCGCAGGTTGGAGGTCTTCCTCGCGTGCGGGCCTTGAGTACAAGTAATTCCGATTTTTAGGTGCACAATGGAGGCCACAGCTTTCGAGGTCTATGACATTGACCGCCTCCTGAAGGCAGCTTTCTTGCTCTCCGGTGCTCTTGCCTCGAGTCCAAAGCGTAATATCGTTCGCGTAGATGGCGTGACGTAGGCCCTGTATTTTTTCGAGAAGCCGAGGGAGCTTAAAGAGTGCCACGTTGAAAAGGAGTGGTGACACAACAGAGCCTTGAGGTGTACCCCTGTTCGGCAGCTCAAAACTTTCGCTCCGTATGTTGTATATTTCCACCGTGGCCGTACAACCGGTGAGGAAGCTTCGAACATAGCCATAATTTTCGAGCCAATAATTTCATGAAATTGAGATTTTGTAGTATTGCTTTATGGCTAACATTATCGAAGGCGCTTTTCACATCAATGCCAAGGGACGACTTGCTATTCTCTCTCAAGGGATAAACTAGATCTTCCTTGAGGAGTAAGAGGATGTCCTGTGTAGAAAGCAGCTGGCGGAAGCCGAACATGGTGTTTGGGAAGTACCCGTTGTCCTCAAGGTGGGACGCGAGCCGGTCATGAATCTTATGCTCAAACAGCTTGCCGACGCAAGAAGTCAGAGAAATGGGTCTAAGGTTCTCAACAGCTATGTTGGGCTTAGGTATCATGATAAACTCCGAATGCTTCCACGTGGCTGGAAGCTCTCCTTTGTCCCAACAGTCATTGTAGTACTGTAGGAGAGCAGTCATAGCCTGATTAGGTAGCTTTCGGAGGTGCTTGTTGACTATTCTGTCTTTGCCTGGACTCGTGTTTCTTGTAAGCTTGGAAAGAGCTGCTTGAAGCTCTGCTGGTGTGAAGGGCTGGCAAGGTCGGAGTTGGGCATGCCTTCGTACTCTTTGTGTGGTGGTGGCATCGCCGCTGATTGGACAGGACCACGCAGCTTGTTGCATAGTTCGTGGAGTTGGTCTTCCTCCGAGTCGTCGTAATTGTGGGTTAGCTGACGTACTCGTTGCCGCTGCTGCGTCTCGGGGGGGTAGTCACCGAGGAGAGTCCGCAGTAGGCGCCACGTCTTCTTGGTGCTCAGCGCACCCTGCAGCTTATCGCAGTATTCGCGCCAGTTGGGTCTCGCTAGGTGCTCGGCATACTGCTGCGCCTCTTCTGTCAATAAGGAAATTCTTTTCCTGAGTTTCTTTCTCAATTTTTCTCCCTTCCATCTCTTCAGTAAGGCTCGACTGGCCCCCCTTGGTGAAGTATGTAGGAATATACTGCCGGATGGTCTTCGTTAAGCTGAATTACTTTGGTGCACTGTTTGGCGGTATCCAGAATCTTGGTGAGCCAGGCGTATATGTCTGCTATAGCGTTTTCACCATCGAGCTCGTTTCTGAAGACGTTTCAGTCTGTCAGTCTTGCTGTGCCTGTTTCTGTAGGTCGTTGGTCATATTCGATTTCGAGTTGAATTATGTGGTGATCGCTGCCAAGTGTCTCGGGGAGACGGGTCCATCCCACCTTCTCGACATCTCGTGTAAAGGTGAGGTCAGGCGTGGTATCTCTCGAGCCACTGTTTCCCACTCTCGTTGGTGGGAGTGGATCATTCAACAATCGGAGGCCGTGCTGCTGAGTGGAGTCGTGGACTCTTGCTTGGTGGTGATGGCATAGCCCCAAGCTGTGTGGGGCGCATTGAAGCCCCCTACGACCCCTAACCGGTGACCTTTTGTGCGTTTTTTGAGTTCGCGGACGAAGTAATCGTAGTCCCTGAGCTGATCTCGCGGTGGGCTGTACACGTTAGGGACGTAAAGGCTTTGTTGTGATTTTCGTTCCGGTATGACTTCCACGATGAAGTGTTCAACTGTAGTGTCTTCTATCTTGTGTACTTGGGCCACAACAGTTTTCTTAAGTAGAATGGCGGTTCTTGGGGTCAGAGCAACGGTGTTGTATTCTGCAAGCCGCACCTTTTCAGCATTGTTCTCTTGTAGAGCGATGAGGTCGTGTTGATTTACTTTTATAAATTCTTGTAGATTAGCCAGCCGGGGTCTGTATGATCGACAGTTCCACTGCCAAATGCGTAAAGTTTGTTATGAAGTAGAAATCCTATTCTTAGAGC